GTTTTTTTCCCCAGTTCCCATATTGTCACTTCACTGATGTTTTTTAATTGTCGCAGGTCACTTTTTTTGTTTTTTGGTGCTACACATGAGATACCTCATGTAATAAATAATAATACTAGCGTGCAGAGAAACTGAGATTATATAAACGCTAACTCGGTGTGTCGTTTGTATGTAGCTGTACGTGCATGTATTGCGTATGGATAAATTTACCAGTATAGCTCCGCACGCTAACGCATGGCACGTAAGACTTCCGTAAATCTGAGCGTGTGTGTATGTGTACGTCCGTCTGTCTGTCTGCCTGTTTTTCACGAAATTCATAGCGCGCTTCGCTGCAGGCATGGAGCGCTGTATTTTGAGCATGGTGTAGGGGGTGGGACGGGAACATATTTGGTGGGGTTCAGAAAGTGATAACGACTGATAAGATCTGATAAGAGGCGCTGAAACGCAAATTTCACGAAATTCATAGCGCGCGTCCCAGCAGCAGTGGGCGTTGGTTCCAAGAAGTGATGTACAGGGTGGGACGGGAACATGTTTGGTGGGGACAAAAAGTGATAACGGCTGATAAGGACCGATAACTACGATGTGACATAGAGCCTATTAACATTAACATATCACTTGAAACCATATTCCAGATAACTCTGGGTCGTTCCACATGATGCTGCAGTTGCAGCTGCAGGGCAGCAGAAGGATTAGGTAGGAATGGGGACAGGAAGAAGTAGCCATCGACAGGCAGAAAGTCCAATCACGAGTCATTCTAACGTCATGTCACAACTGTCAAAATGCGTTCTACTATCAAGAACACCTTTTTGTGCATACACGCCACCTCCACGAGCGGTGTTGGTGTGACAAGTGGAAGGGAGCACAGGAGAAGGTGTTAAGCCAGCGATTGCGCAAAGGGCAATTTGGTATGCCAAAACTGTGTCATCTGCATTGCAGAGAGTACCCGTACATCTTTACTTGCGTGTGATGCATCATAACTGGTATCTGATAAAGGACCTAGGTGCTCGTGCTGGTGCGGACCACCAAAATGCCGTATATATGCCAAAACAGTCAATGATCAGATGATGATCAGATGAGCTCTGTCTGAGAACGTTGTGACAAGCCTTTTTCTGGCCGCGCCAGGTTAGCCGAGCGTTAGGGCGGTCGTGTAGACGTTCTTTTCGAACTGAAAATGCAAAAGTACACTGATGTATATTGACTTATAACGTTAGCGTGAGCTAATTGACATCATAACAAGGTAGCAACAATAGTAGACTTAGAAATTCAGGGCCATTCGTCGTGATAGATGAACGACTCCAAGGCGATGATTAGCTAGAGCAGCATATTCGTGACTAATGGTAAGAACAGGGATAATCGAAAAGAAATCTTCGTGACAAGCAAGTTTGGTGTATTACCGAGGAACGGTCGTTATATGCAAACAGGTTACACACATTCTTTCCTAGATTCACGATAGCTTCCTCGGATCCAGTCTTGAACTTTCTTTCACAAATTTCTTCCCTTCTTGTGATGACAGAGAAAAATTAGATAGTGGGCAAATGGGTAGGCACCCTATTTCGAATTATTTTTTAGTGTGTGAAGTACTTTAATGGAAAAGTGATAAAAAGTTGAATATAGAGTAGAGTTTAGCATAGAGTTTCTGGTGAAGATTTTTGTAATAATACCTGAAATAATCGTTGTAGATATATCACAAACAACAATGCTCAGGAGTGATGCAGTCCTACCTGCTCAGAAATGCTGAACGTAAACGGCCTGATGCGAAAACTGCTAGTCGATTCAGTCCAATCAAGAAAACTAGGGATGATGTAAAAAACCACGATATTCGTGTGGTACAGTAGGATATGTCAGCTATCGAGAAATAATCCGGATAATATGGGCTGATTAGCAGGTTTTCAAGGATATTGAAAAACTGCGACACTACTGTTATAACAGTAAAGAAAAACATTAAGGAATAGAATGGCATCTGAAAAGAAATGCGGATTCTTTCATTGCGTTCGCTCTCCTCTGCGTTTTATGCCTTCACCCTTTGATTCGATACATTTATACGTGAGTTTCCCATTCCTTCCACACTTTTGAAACATTTGAATACCAACCTGCAGTAACTTACTGTGAATCAAAAGGGCTAGTACGAGTAAATTGAGAGCAAAGGCAGTAAAGGCAACTGTCGCATGAACAGTGAGAATAGCGTTCCCAAACGGTTGTGGAGTTTCTTCCAGCCAATCTGCAAGACCGTTTCGAATGTACCAAAGTCAGTGTGAAGTACCCAAGTGGCATAGTGCTAATACCTTCAGGAAAACTCCAATTCCGTCTTTCAGTGGTATTTTCCATTCGTGGACTGCTACTGAAAACATGATGACGTTTATTTCAATTACGAATTCTTCGCAGGACGAATTTTCCGTTGCACTCGTCACAAACGACAAACAAAGTAATTCGCTGAAACCGCTGACGAAACCTGGACCAAGCAGGCGCCTAGGAACATCTTGTAATACGACCCCCTCCCCTTTCTCCCAGGGCCAAAATTCCCATGAAACCACTCTCAAGCGAGACAGCACTAGGACTGAGCTAGGTGGGAGGCTCGGAAGTGAGTTCCTCCTTTTACTAGGACTAAGCTTCAAGAAAAGGAGGTACTCTTGGCCCGGATTCCTTCTTTTCCTGTTTCCTCCAAAGTTACTTCAGTTCAAACATGTATAGAGAAGGATCACACTGTCCTCGGCATTCCCATCCCTGCGGAAGCTTAGTCGCAGTGCTATTTTGAAAGCTTGCAGCAGAGCGCTGCGTCGCTGCATGGTTCCCCACTAAATTAGCACCCAGGTTTCAGCCATAGATGTTGGTAGGTTAGATCAAATGTCACACTCGCTCTTCCTTGCCAGTTGATTTGAGATTCGAGCATTGATGCGACTCTCATCGCTGTGCCCTCTTCAACACTACGCTCTCTCAGCTATCTAATCACTCCTTAAGGAGGAATTCACGATTAGAATGAAGGTCGAAGAAAGGGAAACTGACCTAGTTGAGGGACCCACGGACCTCCTGAGGGTGCGAACTGACGCGCAATTCGCATGGAAAAATTTGACCTCGGCGACCTATCATGCCTCAAAGCTGGCGGGTCCGGCGATCTCCGCCCACCGATCATCTGATCACTCGCCGTAGTTCAATACGTGGCGAGTGATTAGATAGCTGAGAGAGCGTAGTGTTGAAGAGGGCACAGCGATGAGAGTCGCATCAATGCTCAAATCAACGGGCAAGGAAGGGGTCCATTTCTCGGGTTCTGGGCCGTTTCTCATGGTTCTTCCTTCTTTCGTGTACCACTCACCATCCCTAGGTTAATTTGAAATGGGTTGCTTTTTCATCGTGAATTCGTCCTTTAAGCTACAGCAAGTAGGTATTCAAGATCAATTCTATGCTTTACGTGCTTTTATTGAGAAATCTGTCATTCTGTGAAGATTGTATTTAAGCCGTGGTTAAGGCAATAATGCATCTCGGCTTATCTGCCTAAGGAGAACTCGAAGAACAGAGGAAGACCAGAGCAGCATTTCATGGAGTAGAGCAGTTGGTGATACGAGCTTTTGAAATGTGCTACATTGAACTGTGGCAAAGGAACAAGGCTTAGTGCAATGCCACGCCCCACCCGCCGCTGATGCTGAACACGGTTGTAATGAGGGGATCAAACCCTTGTCATTAGGAAAGGAAGAAAACTACAGAACGAAGTACAATCAATGACAGAACAGCGACTTATGGTCGGACTGTGGCGATAATCTTTAAAAACAGCTTTTCTTCTTCTTCTCTTTCTCCACTAATTGTAACGCGATAACTGATTAAAGCAACAATCCAAGAACGAATTTGCGGGTAGAAACCACCTATAACGAAGTTGTAGTTGAAACGTTGACCATTAATGAAAAAAAGTAAAAAAAAATCGTCGAACAGGAACTTAGACAGGGACTCCCCCTCTGCTGCTTAGCAATGGGGAGGAAGTGTGCTGGACGAGTTGTCCGAACCCCTGCCCGCAGTAAATGCGCCCCAATTGCAAGTGCTGGTAATGCCAGTAATTGCAATTAGGCGCAATAATGAATCGTAAAAAAGGACCGAGTTCAAAGACTCCCTGTAGTCCCAAAACTCACGAATGCCTCCGCAGCCAATCACGGCTGGCAAGTGGGCGGTCCCGGGAATTTCCAACCACACCCATTTTTGAGGAGCTTTACGCCCTTTTTGCGGATTTCCGAGGTGAGTTCTGTTAATATCCCCTTCATATGTTCTCTATTAGGGCTAGTGTATCCTTAATCGCAATAGCATTGAAAGTAACATACCCTGCCTGGACTGTTGCTTTAACTCATTCACAACGACGGGTGTTTCGCGTTTTTGGTCGCGTGGGGTTTTTCATCAGTGTTCAATGCGTTGAGCTTTGTAGGGACATAATAGCAGATTTTCGAACAAAATTACGTTCACTGGCAATGAAAAGACAAGATTTATTGGTGTTTGCAGCAGAGAACATTACAAGCATTTTTGCCTCTGTTCTGCTAATGAAATAACATATCTTGCCGTCCACAAGGGTTTGCGTTTCCTTTGCTGCTCTTCTGACTTAGATACTTATGGCAATAGAAAGAAAGGAGTAAACTGTAAAGAAAATTCTGTAGGGTTCAGAAGACATTTCGTGAAGCAAGGCAGTATTACACCTTCCTCACACCTTTCCTTGAACCATATCGTTTATAGTTATCCATTGTCCTGATTTCTTCGTTGATATCAAAAACATTCAAATAACTCATGGTACTATACGAAGGCATGTGATTACACTGGCAGGCCGTCTGGGCTGCCAGTTTCATACGGGTAGAGTCACTGGCAACCTATATGGCTACCGTCGACGTGAATATGTTAAAGATATTAGCTTATTGTTAAATTGGCTTGAGGAACCTCAACCGTAAAAAAACGACTACTGCTACCTAAAAATAGTGCTCCCCAAGTTTTGCAGTACAGCTTCGAATGAAGACGGTCTACCTAAAGTTGCTCCGGTGCCTTTGCCCTGTACACATGGCTCCGTCTTTGTAACACAGGTAACTTCCGCGACTTGATTGTCTATCGACACCCCATTCTTGGGTGATTAGCTCGGACAAATATCAGAATTCTCTGCAAAGGAGGTCCTTACTCCTAGTACGTACCACTCCTGTGTATCAACTATTGTTCGCTTGGTTGTCGATACCTTTGAGCCGGGCATACGATTAGTGTTCACCCTGCATATGTCGCTATAGCTAAACTCCCTTGATAAAAATGCTAATTAAATACGCAGTTGGTTAGACGCTCTCAAATTGCCTGGATCGATAAGAAACCTCCCTCAACTCACAGTTGACGTGTCGTGATTAGTTCAGATAAAGCCATAATTTGCTAGCAGGTTTAAAGCGATGCTCAACATATTAACTCATATCAACCCAATAGCAGCATTAATACAAAAAAAAACTTGTGTGGGAATCAGAGAGATGAATTTTATGACAAATATATAACTAAGCAAGGAAAAAAGACCAGGAGATAGAGGAGCCGCAGATGTCACGTTGACCCTCCACTAAAAAGTGTTCTGAAGGACTCTGTACTGGAGGGTCAACGTGGCAAACATGATATCTGCCCCTCTTCAGCCCGTGGTCTTTCTTTTGTCCAACCACCCCTATTGAATAGGAGTTGAAGAAACAGCTGCAATCCCTTCCTTTCTTCAGTTGCTTTGTGCAGCCTTTTTTCCAGCTCATCATTCGTTTCTCCCTTGTTCTTGTTGCTCTGTACTTCGCAGATGAATAAGGAAACCTCGTGGTTTGATTCAACGTTAATTCAAAGTTGTCAGACTCCTTATTTCATGATAAGGGGCCTTAATCACCATCCCTGATTGGGAGGTGAAGGTAGTTTTTGGAACGATGAAAGACTGAGTCGATTCTCAAGGGTTTATTGAAGACCGAAATATATTGGTTCAGGCGCGACTTATATACAGCCGACAATACACAGATTCTCTTCTTCTTCAACGCTATTTCTCCTCATATGACAGCATTTGCATTTTAGAAATCGTCCGCTAATATGTAAAATAAGGAACCAGCAATTGAATACTTAGAAGCATTATCTGTTAATATGCAAATGAGGAAGCAAACACTCAGAAGCTGAAAGCATCATATGTTGTTATGCAAATATGCAACCCATCGATCGCCATTCTGTAGAAGTTACAGAAACTCCCACGGGCAAATAGAAATAGAATAGAATTTGGTATTTTTTAGGATGAGGAAGAGTTGTCGGGAACATGAAATGACACATGCGCGAGAGAAGAGCTAAGAGACATAGTACCACTGTCGCTAGAAAAATCATCTTCCAGGTTTTGAACTCAGAAAAAATGACTCAACGTTTTGCAATGCGTAAGATACAAGTTGTGAAGCACTGTCAAGGATTTTTCCCAGAGGATTTGGGTTTGCGAGAGGAAGGTTCTGATCGGCAACATAGAGTCCGGGTTTGATGAGTCGTCGTTGACGTGAGATAGCGTTCCTTTGATTGTAATATTGGTACTTCCTCTGGGACAAGAGGCGATGCAAGAGGTAAGGATGTTTCCTGTGTTGAAATGGAGAATCAATCGATTGAGATGTTGTCCTCGTGTGGAGCATTTTGCTATTTGAGTCTCGTCTGGACAGGAGATGAGCGCCGTAGTTTCGCCATCACTAGTAGTGCAGACAAGGTCGAATGTAGCTCCATAAATACAACTGTAGCAGCCCGTGAGGTCGCTGGTTATGAAAGTGCATTTGCTCTTGTGTTGTTGAGACACCAAATTAAGATTCTCCATGACTACCTGTAGCTGGAGAGACGATCCCACATTGAGTTTTGCAAGAACAGTGTCTGCGTGTTGTGTGAGGAGGAAGTTCTTTCCGGTTAAAGGGAGTGGAGAAGGTTCCATTAGTTTCTTCAAGTTTCCATCGGGGTAAATACAAGACATTTTGAGGAATCCCTTTGTGCATTTGCATGTTTCACTCGCGAAAAGACAACGGAAATTTGAGCGTCTTGAAGGGTGGCACACTGAAGTTGTCCAGCAGTGTGTGGAACGAGTTGTCCTCGATGGCGGGTTTGATTATGGCGATGTTGTTTCCGTCTGACATGAACGTAGAGCCGAAGTATTGGTAATTTTGGTGTGATGGTGCTGATTAAAGTAAGTCGCAAGTTGTTCCAAGAGTTGACATTCCCCGGAGTAAGCCGCAATATTTTTGACATTATATTGCTTTCGTAGCCCAGGGTGATGCCCGCGGTTATAGAGTTCCCCTAGGGCAATTAAAGACGGTGTATAACGACGATGTGATAGGTTTGGCATAAACTCGATAGAAAATGCAGCTATCCTCGCATAGCAGGCAACCGCCACAAGTCAAACATCCACAGGTGGGAGTGCAGTAGGTATATCCGGGATTCTTGTTAGCAATGGAAGAAATTTCTTTCAGAGTATCGGTGGGTTTGACGTTGTCACAAAACTTCTTGGTACAGCTACCTGGCTAGGTAACAGCGATGGTGCGATTCTGATATTAACTCATGGTCTCGTGAGAAAAACTCGGC